TTAGAGTTTTAAATTGAATCAAATATAATATATTGTTTATTAAATAATTTAAATAATTTGATCAAATTAGGTTAGATAAGGTCAGGTCAGGTCAGGTCAAATGAAAATTTAAATCAGATCAGATTTTTGTTTGATCTGACCTGATCCTCTCAGTTCAGGTAACTTGATTGACCCAACCTGAACTGACCTATTCAGAGCTCTAGCTTTATTTATATTGTCTAATATAAATCTTCAGTTTGAGCTTCATCTGCTTTAATTTGTTTTAATATATCTTGTACTACTATATTCATAATATGAGCATTATAATGATAATAAGAACCAACAGCATACAATAAAATATTTTTATTTTGACAAATATTTTCTAAAGGCTCCATAAAGGTATCATTATTTGAAGCATTATCACTTGTAATTATAAAAATCTAAAATATTAAATAATTTTATTAATATTCTTATTTTAAAAAATTGAAAAAATAAATGAATATATAAGAAATTTACTTTATTTAAAATTTCAAATTCTTGGCAGCTTTTTACAAAAGTATTACAAAGGTTTTTATTAGAGTGTGGTTCACAAAGGTTTATAAAATCAAGTAAACTGACTTAAGCATCTAATCTTTAGTAATCTAATACATTATAATGGCTAAAAATCCATAACTATTTGTAGATATTCATACATCTAAAGCAAATAAAATTTTTTCTAGAATATTCTGTTAAAATATAAATACAAATGTATAAAATATATAAGTTTAAAAAAAATATTATTTTCATGTATATTTAAAAATTTACTTGAAATAGATCTTTTCTTCTTTCTTTCTCTTCTTTATAACATTCCATAATATCCTTTTTTATTATGTCTGCTATTAAAACTACTGCATCTGGATTTAACACTTTTATCATATGCTGAAAATACTGATTTTAGATGTTATAAATAGCTGATTATTAGTAACTACCCATTTAACAAGAGAAATATGAAATTAAATTTATGTAAATTACATTTAAAAATAAGAAAATAGTTAAAATATTGTAATTTTTTAACATGTGATTGATTGCTACTTACTTTAAGTGGAGTTTCTATTTGATCAACAAATCTATCTAAAGTATTTTGATCTTCAGCTATTAAAATTTTAGCTTTTTTTGATTTTAGATTTTATCTGGATAATATTTCTTTAAATGACGCTAAAGATTGGTTATATTTGAGTCACTAATTTTTCATAATCAAGTTTTTTTTATCTCTAGAGTTTTAAAAAAAATTATGAAATAATATACTAAGTTTCCAATATTAAGTATATATTTTCAATTAAAAATTTTACATTTTAAAAATTATTTATTTACGGACAATTAAATACCTAACTTCACAGAATAATTTGATCATTTTAGTTAAAGTAAGCTACTTGCGCATATTAAGTAAAAATATTCTATATATCCGAATTTACATATATATAAATTTTTGTTTCACAGGATTTAATAATCGTTGAGTAATAGCTTTTCGTAACTGTATTAATTCTTAAATTTTTTTGTTTTTTTTTTGAATATTATATTTGTGTAATTTATTAAATACTGTATCAATATAATGTATATCGCAAAATTACCAAACTTTATAAAAAAAAAAGTATCAAATAAAAGTATTTAAAAGTTATTATTTTGTTTTAATATAATTAATTTCTTTAAATAAATTTAAAAAAAATTTTTTTTATTGATTTTTATTGTATTTTTAAGATTATATAAAACAGTAATTT